AACTCCATCTTCTGAAGGTTCAACAGCAAATCACCAGAGTCAAGGAAAACCTTGTTGGCTGAATTTGAGATGGTATGTGCAATTTCTCTTGCGGCTTCAATCTTCCTTAGAGTGATAAATGCAGGATTGTTGGCAATAGCTTGACCAATGAGCTGAGCACTGGTGGCCTCTCCCTGTAATCCATAGAGGATAAATGATTAGAGAGAGGAAAAGGGGGAGGAGGAGTGCAATTTTCAAACGCAGGTCGAATGAAAACAAGAAGGCCTTTGTCCTAAAATAGATCAAGATTTCTTCTGTCTCACCTCAGCTCTGATAACAGCACTTTTCTTGTCTTGTTCAGCTTTTTCCACAATAAATTTAGCTCTTTCAGCTTCTTGTGCGGCCACTTGTTTGGCTTCGATGGCAGCAGTAAATTCTTTCCCAAATGTCAAGCTTGTAATGGACACATCATCCAGTGCAATGTTAAATTTGACCGCTCTTTCTGTCAAAATCTTCCTTATTTCTCTACTAACAGCCTATAAAAAAAGATAATTAGGCAACAAAGAATGATGCGAATGAACAGCTCCGTACACAAAAAAGAACAGTCAATATATCGAGAAGACAATGCTGAAGTGATGGAGAAACTAAAGACCGATCAATATCTTCCATGATTCTCTAACAATGGCCAACAGATGCCTACTGTTAAATTGATGCCTGAACAATATAATCATCCTAAAAGCCTATAAAAAACCAAAGTCAACCGAGAATGGTGCCTTAACAGCAACATGCACACAAAAGAAAGAATGACCAAATTGCAGCTTCACCAGCTTTTGGTTTGTACTTGTATTATAATATATGTCTCCATGGGTGTGTGTGTTTTATTTTCAATATAACCATACTTTCAAGAACATATTTAACCAAACACTTCTACATGTTTTTCACCGCTCCAATACATTGCTGTAAAAGCTTACACCACCACCGCTATTGCCACTCTCAATGCCAAATACCCACTTAATAGTGCAAAATAATGGAAAGCTAGAGAAAATACGAACATTATCTTCCCTAGTTCTCTACTAATAGCCTACACAGAACTAAGGGTCAGTCAACATGCTATCAAATAGATGCCTTAGCAACTATATACACAATACTCATGAAAAGGTCATTTCAGCAAATTTAGGAATTATGGGGAATCTACAAAAATAACATGTTAAATAAACACTTCCCCTTGCTGATCAGGTGAATGAAACTGATAGTGTTACTTTGCACCAGGATTTGAATGCTTAGTGATTATTACCTCTCTCTGAGTAATGAGCTGACTGGCATTGTATTGTGCAACCACAGCTTTCAGTGTTTCATGAATGATAGAAGGCAAAACTCTTTCATTATAATTCTCACCAAGGGTTCTATAAATTTCAGGTAGCTGGTCTGCCACAGGACGAGTAAGAACTCGAAGCCCAATCTTGACCTGTTAACAATTTTAAAACCAATTCAGAAAGAAAGATTGCAAGGGTTTTAATATAATGCATAAAGATAGGAAACTAAAGCCAATAGATTCAAAGTTCTCGGCAACCTCCTTGAGTGCATCAACAAAAGAAGTGTTGTCCAACAGAGTTCCAGCAAGAATCTATAATAAGATTTTTAGGAATTATGAAAGGCATAAGACATCTACCATTTGGAGATCACGGCTCCCTGAAGTACTCTCTACCAGATGGGGTCGTGCACGAACATCATAAATGACGGGCCTTTCAAACCATGGAACCATAAAGTGTGTCCCCTCAGGATAAACCTGGTCATTGAGCACACATTGAACAATACATATTTGAGCACATAATAAAATACAGAAGTAAAAGGCATGGTTTCAAGATTACAAATGAAATGATGGTGGAGGAGGAAATGCGATCCAGTATAAGTCCAACAACTGCATTGTTAAATTAATCGTGATTTGAGAATCAAAACTCTAGTTTCAAGTGGCCAGCCCCTCTACCCCAAACTCAACCATTGAAGCGGGGACTAACCAACCCCAGATGAGTCAAGAAGCATTTAAGAGTGCATGAAAAATGTAACTGATTGAAACAGAAGATAATAAAATTAGACAGTCATCCGAAGAATAACTGTGATCAAGCTGGTCCCTAGAGGCTTTATATTCTTCAGAATATATTAAATCACCAAGCAAATAATTTCCATTCTTATATCCATATCAACTATTCTGCTACACTGATTTCCAAATACAAAGATAAAATCACAGAACACGGAATGGTTTCAACTTCCACCCACCATTATATGGCATTGTTGAAGGTAAGAAAATGCAAAGGGGATCAACATATTTCTCATTAGCAAACAATATCAATAGGTCTGTTCCAAAATACATTGATTAAGGTTGCAAAATGTTAAAGAAAGCAGCCCGATAAGTTAAATAGCAGATTTGGCAGTGCATATAACATGAGCATCAGCCGATGAGAAAAGGGTCATCATGATAACAAAATATGAGGAGCAAGTCAGATTTGACAACAAGCAAAATAAACAACCATCATTAGCTTTCCACAATTCTTCGTGTAGGCCACAGTAAGGAAATTAACCTTGTCTTTGACACCAACTATACGGTTGAACATGATTGCTCTATGTCCACCATCAACGTTGTAAAGACTGTTGGCAGCTCCATACAAACCAAGCCCACCAATAACTCCAAGCTTAATCAGAGTTCCAACGGCACCACCACCCGGCAAATTGGGTACTTTCACATTCTTGAAATTCATCTAAGAACACAAAATCATTCACGTTAACAAGGTCAAACCAACAACGAACCAAAAGCAAACAACAATGTCGGCATCATATGTAATCAAAAAGCTTGTTTATTTCCCATTTTCACATTTCCTACTCTAAAAAACACATTAAAGAAACTCAATCTAGGCCTCAAAATTTTGTAACTTTTCTTTCTGGAAACACAAATTTTAACAAAATAAACAAAAAGTAATAAAATCTCGACTTACTAAAAACAAATAAACAAACCCATTAAAGAAAGGAGAGAATTTGTTAGGTTATTAAGGGAAATGAAGCAAGAGGAGCAAGATTTAAGCTTATAGAACTCTAGTTTCTTAATTTTAGTACAAAATGAAAAGAACCTAGTTGAAACAACCGACAAGATACTGATATCTGATGCCAGAAGCATTCCCAAGATACTAACAAAGAACTTCTTTTGAAAAGAAAACGAAAGAAACAAAGAGAAAAGGAATGCTAACCCACCTTCGATTGAGCCTTCTAGAGAGAGAGAAAGGGGTTTAGGGTTTATAGCGCCGAGAAGAAGAGAGAGACAGAGAAGGGTTTTAAGTGTCTGAGCGAAACATTGTGAAAAAGGAAGTGCCTTGCTTGAGCAGAGTGTCAGGGAAATGGGCCCAGTAATTTTTGGTTTTAAGAAGCCCATCTTTTATCTCTTCTTCTTGAAGGCGAAACCCTAAAATAATATTACTTTGAATAAAAAAAATCATTGCAAAAGATAAATTAAATTACGAGTTCTCTCGTATAATTATAAAATTATAATATCATTTAAATTTAACTAGATTAATATTTTAAATTAGTCAATAATAAATTTAATTTAAATTAAATTTTAAATCAATAAAAAACACTGATGGAATATACACACACATATATATATATATAATTCAAAACTTATTGGCTTTAATATTATCATATATTTTTTTAATTTTAATGTGTTTATGAGTATAGTTGCGGTTGCTTTTCAAAGTATTTTTTAGTTGAAAAAGTATCAAAATAATATTTTTTTATTTTAAAAAAATTACTTTTGACATCAACACATTAAAATAATTTAAAAATATAAAAAAAAATTAAATTTAAAATAAAAAATTTAAATTTTATTAAAAACATTTTTAAAACCCAAAAATACATCGTTATCATGCCAAGTCTACCTCTTTAGTATATTTGATTTGGTGGCATTAAACAACCACATTGGTATTAGTTTTTGATAAATTTAAGGGTTATTCTTCTTATTTAAATTATTATAAATTTGATTTAATTTTAAATTATTTTTTTATAACTAGATTAGATTGATAACAATAATTTTTTTATTTTATGTAATAAATGATGATTTGAAGTCAAATTATTACGGCAATTCAAGTACTTTAAATGAAAATCAAATCAATTAAAGTTTATATTCTTTAATAAATTGCAACAAAAATATTAGTATCTGAATCAAGATTGTTAATTCTATTATGTTTTATCTGAAATGATTGAAACATTTTATATTAATTTAAAAAATAGAATAAAATAAAATAATTTTTATTTTATTTTAAATCTTGGTTTGTTTTGTATTTTTTAGTTAAATTTTGACAAGAATATTCCGGTTTCATTTCACATATTTCATTTTAGTCTCGAAAGACTATTGAATCAAATTGAATCTGATTCAATTTGATTAATCAAACCACTCAAGTATAAAAAGACTCTTTTTTATTTTATTATTTTCAATAACAATAATATTAATTTTTAAAAATTAGATTTATCACTAATATATATGGTTTATATTCATGTTGTTTATTTCATGTTTATACTTTATAGGAATTTAAGCAAAATAAAGAATGTTTTAGATTTTATTAGCCTTGATAGCATTAACCTAATTTTATATTTAAAATATTTGTGTTAAAACATTTTACTTCTTTTATAATATCTTGATATTTTATTTAAGTTGAATTACTTTAAATTAAATATTTATTTAATCTTGACTATATAAAAATATTTTAAAATTTTAATTTTAATTTATTTGATATTGTGTTTATATTATATAATTTATAATTAATTTATCTTGAATTTAAATTATGTTTTATATATATATATATGTATATGTATATATAAACAGTATAATCTCAAAACATCACGTTGAAAAACTCTAAATCTAAAACATTTTATTTCAATTAAAAAAATAAAATATCTACCGAAACAAAATTGCCAACCAAACCATCTGGATGTGAACCTGGAGCTGCCAAGTCAGCAAGAGTTAAATAAGCATCAAGATTTCGTTATCCACTTTCAGTCATTGCAGCCTTCTCAATCATTTTTTTTCCTCAAGAAAACCAAAAAGGAAAAAAAATGGCTTCTTCTTCTCCTTCATCTCTTCTGCTTCCACCTGGTAACTAATCAATCTCTTCTTCACCTTCGGAACCACTTCATTGTTGCCATCACGTTCATTTTTCACATTTATTGTGGCATGCAGGTTCTTCTTCTGGCAAAACTACCAAAAGACATGGCAGTATTAATGTCTTTGACGAGGCCCAAGGTTTGATGAACATTAATGTGCAATGCTCAAAATTGGACCTTAGAATTAGAGCAAGAGAGAAGAAGGTGGATACAAGTTTGATGAAGAGAAGAGATCATGTAATTGGGCTGGCATTAGGGGTTTCAAGTCTTTGTAATATGGGCTTATTTGATGATATTGCCAAAGCAGCTGGATTGCCACCAGAAGATAAGCCAAGATTATGTGATGAAAACTGTGAGAAAGAGCTTGAAAATGTATGGTGAGATCATTACATGGACCCCTTTTTCTTAATTTTGATAAGATTGTTAAGACTGGTCATTTTCAAATTCTGGGTCGATTAATCCTCTTTGTTGATGAAGGTGCCAATGGTGACTACAGAGTCTGGATTGCAGTTCAAGGATATTAAAGTTGGTCAAGGCCCTAGTCCTCCAGTTGGTTTTCAGGTAAATTAATTGAGAAATCATGTTTTGATGCTCTAGTAACCAATTTGTAGCTTCCAAGACTTACCAACTGACTTATCAATTGTGGGCCAAATCCATGTTTCTTGGTCACCTTTCCCACCAGAAGGAGCTTTCAGTTTATATATATATATATATTGATTGCTCAATTTTCAGACGTTGCTTGGAAAGAATTAGCTAGACTTGCACATAAATTTCTTCGGTAACAAAAACCAACCAGGACAATTAGTAGATCTTCAATTCATTCACCATTAGTTACAGGAATTGGCCATTAGGCTAGGTTTACTGGTTGATCAGTTTGGATAAACATTACTTGGATTCAATTTTTCTTTCACTTGTCCACCCCATGTAATGGCAGTATCATTTATGCTCACAGGTTGCTGCTAATTATGTTGCCATGGTTCCATCTGGGCAAATTTTTGACAGGTACATTGTTGATTTTATGATCATTAGTGATGTCTAATGGTAAAATTCTGGATGATGGAATACCTTTTGAAAAATGGATGAAATTTAGCGTCTAGGTATAAAGGGGCCAGGGCAGAGTTGCCAACTGTGGTGGGTTTTCGGTCTACAAGAACTTGCTCAATTTCAAACATTGTTTGCCTTTCATTTTGCAGTTCATTGGAGAAAGGGCAAATCTATATCTTTCGTGTTGGCTCCGATCAGGTAAGCTCCATAATTGTAATCCATGTTAAGCTTGGCCCTGTGCCGCTGATCATGAAAGTGAGTTTGCTGCTTTTAGCTTCAAGTCCTGCTTAACATTGCAAATTCTGATTTTGCTCAATCACCTCCTTAAATCAAAATATATTTAGTTATCCTTTTAGATAGGTTTCGGTAATTGTTTATGAATCCGATGGTGGATTGGTGATGCCACATGTTCTTCATGTTGTTGGATAATCTCCAAATTCCATTACATGGCAAGCATTGCATAATGCAATAAAATCATGCTCTGATGACTGTGCACTGCCATTGATTTTCTTTTCAATTTGAATGACTAGAATAGGTGATCAAGGGACTTGATGAAGGGATCCTGAGCATGAAAGTCGGAGGGAAGCGGCGGCTCTACATTCCAGGACTGGTAATTCATTCTCATCTCACTCAAAAAACTGTAGATAGTTGCAGAATGTTAGCCAAGCAGCTGCCTTGGTCTAGGTAAGATGGAAATCCTATATTGGACCAATGATACATCATAAGACTTGATGGTCTCACCGTTCTATGTTATGCATTCTCTTGAGATTTAGAGAGCTAGTTAGGAGCAAATTCCAAAACTTGATGCATGGATCCATACATATCAGTCTATGTACAGCCATCTCGAGATGCGATGGTCTTACTGGTAGACATCATCTTTCAACATGTATTCTTGACAGCTAAACAATAATCTCTATTTGTAATCAAGCTTCTAATTATGTTGTTTTAATGGCTTATTCATGTTTCTAGTTGGCTTTCCCGAAAGGACTCACTTCAGCTCCAGGAAGGCCAAGGGTGGCACCAAATAGTCCTGTAGTTTTCGATGTCAGTTTGGAATACATACCAGGCCTTGAAGTGGAAGAAGAATAAGACTTGAATAATCTCCATCTCCCATTTCTTATTTCAGCCTTGCCTCTCTCCCTTTACATGATCTCCCCAAACAAGGTTAAAAATGGGAGTTCTTGAATTGTATGCCTCCCATTACTTCTTTCCCCCCCCTCTGATATTATACAAATTGAGAGCGTTCGTTTCTTGATGTAAGTTTTTGAACATTCACAGCCCATACCATTTTGGTCTGGTCCAGGTTTCGGGTTGGATCGAGTGGAGTTCACTCGGTCGAGCCTGTCAACTCGTTAGGTCAGACCATAACTAGATTGAATTGGTCAAAACCCGAATGAGAGCCCACTTGATTTTTGTTTACAATGACGGGTTTTCAATTTTATTTTAAATAAGTTTTTTGAAGAAATATTGTTTTGATTGACCTAAGTTAATTGTTTATTTTATTCATAGATCAGAATGAGTTTTATAAGTAGAATACTTAAAAAATATCGCACAATATCAAGAAAATTCAGTAACCTTAATTGTTTTGATATGTAAATCACTCTGCAGATTTTTCCCATGCTAACAAGTTTATTATCAAATTTATCATTAGGATAATTTGGAAATTATGTCAATGGGAATATTTCTCCTTCCAATGAAGGACAACTAGACGACAGTGCGTTCAACCAAATGACTCATCGGTGAGGCTCACGTGCTACCCTGCATGTGATGCCAAGTCGTTGACATTTTTTAATGGTGTAAATTTGTATGAAAAACTTTTATATCTTAATTAATTTATGGTTTTAAGATTCGGCTCTCTCTCTCTCTCTCTCTCTCTTTTTTCCCTCTCTTGCAAGTTTAAATCGTAGCAGTAAAACATTAAAAATAAATTAATATATGTCTTAAATAAAATAGATCATATGAATAAAAAAGATTTTCCATATTATTTTGAAATAATATTTAGTGGCAATTAACGTGACATGACGAGAATACTCTTACCGTATGTGGATTAGTCAATTGAGTTTAAGCTTTAATTTTACTAATTTTTATGTCCAAATTAAACATTCTCTCCATGAACACATGGTATAATTAAGGTCAACAAGATTCATCTACTCTCCGAAGAAATGGCTAAATCCTTCAAATTTGGTTTGCTTTATTGGTGGCCAACTAACTAGGAAGGATGTTTACCCCAAGAAAAGATTATATTTAGATTATATTTAGAATGAATTTAACCATTTTTCAATGTGGAAACTTAGAACACAGAGCCTAGCTCAGATGGGAGGCTTTTATTTTGGGTGTTGATTGTTGAATGGCAAAACAAGAAATTAAATCATAACTGTTTCGTAGGTCAAATTATTATTATTATATGGGTTTGAGTCATGTTACTTAAATCATAAGCTCATAAAGAATGGACATGATGATATTAGTTCACACAGTAATTACAAATGGTATAAGTTTTATCTTCTGATTAAAAGTTATTATTAAACTCTACATTGAAATAGACCAAGTTTAAGTTTTGGGTTAATAAATTAATTTAGATTAATCTATTTTTTTTTAAATTAAAATAATATCATTTAAAAAAAATAAGTTTTTAGAAGAAATTTATATCCAGGTCGAGAAGCAACTTCAAATTTTAATCTGATCATAATGATCAACTCCCTTTTATTTTTTATAAAATTGACTTGAATCAAGTCCTGAATTTACTTGTTTAGCTGCTTTGATCGAGAAGTTGGATGATTAAGGATGGTTCAAGTCTATCTCCTGACACACCTCTTGCTCCAATGAAGGTACAATATTAATTTTCTTGTTGATGTCCAAAGAAAGAATGCTGTGACAGAAGTTCCCCCAGTGAAATCACAGTTAGGTCTAGATTAAGGACCAGATGATGGACTCCAAAGAAGCTGTTAAAAGGGATCCCTCTAGCTCCACAGGCACTTCTGGATTTGAAAGCCAAAATGTTAGTTAATTAGGTAAAAAGGGTGATCATCAGAACCTAAATCCTAAAAAAAATCATCCCATGCACCTGTAAACATCACAAAGTCTTAACAAGCTCACCAACCTTTCTTCTATTAGCACTAAATTGCGTTACAAATTATATATTAATTGAAAAATTATTGAAATTCCTTGTAAAATCAAGAAGGCCAACGCACAATTAACGGAGGATATGTCCTTGTTTCAATCCTTAATTAATCTCTACCTAGCCTTTCTTGAAACCTAAATATATATGATATCATCTTCTAATGAAGATCCCAAGTGTGTGTATATATATATATATATATATATGGAGCTTAATTTCCCTTGAACAATAACAATCAGCTTAATTTTATATAACCCCACCTACTCTCAATATTAATTATTTCTATGTGACGCTAAGAAAATATTCTCGAATCATTTTATATGTTAATTTACGACCATCTTGAAAATACACTTCATCACATCAATATGATATTTAATAAATTCTTATAGGTATTGATATGACGGTTTAAACTCAAAGAATCAAGGAAAGTAACAAATATTACATGGCCAATTCCTTGAGATTAATTAATATTAACCATTATAATAACACAAGTTTGTAGGCAATGCTCGCTCTAGGGCTGGTTATTTCAAACCTTTTGTTCCTAAATCTTTATAAAAAAGTAAAATAAAAAACAGCAAAACATGACTTCTTTGGAGAGAACATAACACCAATTCTCCTTGTCCAAATACTACATTAATATCCTTTATACTCTTGAGAGAGAGAGAGAGAGAGAGAGAGAAAGATTATGCTATAGGTGGGTTATAAGTAGAAGTTGTAGGTTAGAAACTTGCAAAGATGTTGAAAGGATCCCTTCAACCTCCCTCCCTCCCTCTCACGAACACAACACACAAACAGAAATAACATATTAAGATATACCTATAGGTAAATGACTTGTAACAGTTTGTTAGCCTAGACGTTGCATCAATATCTGGTAAAGGTCGGTCCAAACCCTCCCAACTCCCTAACGAATTATTCATCGAATCATTTCTCATCTTCTCCTTATATATTTTCTTTCCCTGCTTGTCTTGTTTGCCGCCA